TGAGCGAAGTGCCTCTCCTCTAAAACACCTGCGTGCCGAGGGGCCGCGACCCGGCAGATATGGAGGGCGGCGCAGGACATCTGGCGGTCCGACATGGCTCTGTTTATCTCGAGATCTGATATAACCGGTGCCGCAGGGCGAATTCCGGTCTGTTTCATATGTCCGTCTTTGGGACGCGACAGTCCTAACGACATGCGTCGTTGAGGAGCTCTCAAATGGACATTGCCCTGATGACAAGCTTTATGATATCCCAGCATATGTAGCCTAGCATATATATCCTAAAATATGCTCCACGTGATGCACGCGCATACTGGAACTGGCCCTCATTGGGTCGATGGCGCCCTAGGTAGCGACGATGGTTTGGGACCGACAGAGACCCCAAGTGTGCTGCATGGACGCGGGGTGTTATGATTAAACTATGCCTCATAAGGTGATAACAAGACCACCACGAATCACACAACGGCCGTTAGCATAATTATGCAAACCGCACATCTGATCCCGCTTTCAGACCCCGCCCACTCATAACCTTCCTATCTCTATCTGCACGACTGAATTCCACACATGAACTAAAGCATTCAAATGACATGTTCTATTTCAAACACTAACGAGCAGACACACGATCGAAGAATTCACCCGATCAGCGACGTTATTAGGACCTGGAGGTTCTCTGCGCAACTGGATTCCAGATGTGAACTTAAGCGTACAATTGAGATATTCCAACTAAATACTTATCAGCAGACACACGATCCAAGAATTCACCCGATTGGGATCAGAATTATTGGGACCTGGAGGTGAGACACATGGAGCGTCGTGCTGGGTATGGCGCCAGATGGATCCCTCCCGCCTTATCGTCATGGTCTGAGGCTTTTGTGCACACCGGCGTCGAATGACTTTTGCGCTCATTACCGATGTTAGGCTGAGTTACCTATTCTTATTAGTAAGGAGCAGTACAGCGAAAACTTAATGTCTGTAAGATATACAGCCACCTGAGTTGAGTTTAACAAATTTTTCGCAAGAAAAATATTGTTGCCACAGCAACGTTTATGCATACATTTTGGGTATTTGTAACGCTGCGATCTTCACCGGGTGTTTATGCGTTAAGTATACGCCGGAATCGCAGAACTAGATATATCACATCCAGATGAGCCGTGGCCACGAAATACACCAAAACTGTTACGAACGATTCATAATGGCTTGACACATAATGAATCAGATATTTCCAATCAACCAGCCATGCAAAGTAAATTTTCCGGAAGCAATAAGAGCGGTCAAGACCTGTATCTTTAAATGAATTCCCAATGACGGACGACTTCCTGACCCAACGACTTTCTTCCCAGAACACCACATCGTGCGCAGTGATTGGCTAATTACAACACAGGCCTTCTTCTCTTCCCCTTCATTTATGTTCACGTAAATCCGCTGCACCTCCAAAACAGCAAACCAGCCTTGCGCTCGCTGCGGGCACGGTACCCCGTACCCGTTGCCTTGTGTACTGGTTGCCCTTCCCCGCCCCAAGACGGCGCCAGACGCTGCAGTCTCCGCTGGCAGCGCGCGCCAGCGCCGGAGTTAAGCACCAGCCGACACGTCCGGCTCGTTTCAGCCGAACCTGACCGCTTTCGTCACATTTAGCTATAGCTGATGACGCCAGCGGTGGCAAGGTTCACCCGGCGGCCCATTTCGGCACCGCTCCCTCACACACTTTAACCAACTCCCCCACCTGACCTAACCCCCCCCCCCCCCTCCACCGTTCGCCCAGATCCGTACCGACTTCGAGGGTGCCACTTTGAATGTGCGGTGCGAGTAACCCGCTGCCCCCCCCCCCCCCCCCCAGACGAAACCCAAGGCCCTGGGAGCGTTCGGTCGACGGTTGGCGGGTTTGCGGTCCACACGCCGTCTCAGTCAGCTCCAGGCTACAGCAAACTACCAGGGCTTGGCAGCAGGTACGGGGCGAAGCCGGCCACCGCCCACGTTTGGCCGCAATTTTCCTTTAATGGCTTCATGTTCACCTTCAGATTTGAACGATTTTCCTTGGCTGGCTTTGGCTTTGGCTTTGACCTAATGCCCTAAAGCGCCAATGTCACTTACAGCCAGGGAGCTAGAATCGCTTTTGAACTAGGGTGGGAGTGAAAAATTTCATCGCAAAAAGACCATGCGGGAGTGAAAAAATCCATAAAAAAGATGGAACTTCTGAGCTCGTGACTGATGCTTCAGCAAACAAAGACATCTATTTCAAGTTGGCATGGACGTAATATCAGGAACCTGACAAAACCATTTCGTGTTTTAATATCTTAGGCCATTAAAGTGAAACAGAATACATTGACACGCGCTCGGGTGGGGGGGGGGAGTGGGGGGGGGGGGGGTGCAAATTGACCCCCGAGGGCTTTTCCCGAATGGTTTCTGAACGGCGCGGCGTAGCCGCGCCAAATTTTTCATAGTTGTACAAAATTGCATAGCGGATCGTTTGACATACAAATTTTAGATGTACCTTGTAAGGTCGCTGACCTATGACAGGTCAAAGTCAGCCCATGGTTTCAGCGAAGGCAATTTCTAGGCAACGGAGTGTTTGACGAAGACGTACATCTCTGAGATGCTTTCTTAGGCACCACAAACATTGAATAAGCAAATGACGTTGACCTAAGGTCGGGTATGATGGTCAGACCAAGGTCAAAACCTGATTTATTACTCTAGGGCTTGCTGTATAGGATAGTTTCTGGTCTCATTTCGAATTTATTGACAGCAGGAACCGCATTATACATCTTCAACTAACTTCTTAGAGGTCAGAACATGTCATTGGCCTAAGATGACCCGGGTCGAACGTTTTGTTTTAGGAACATACTGCCCAGTGTAATGTTTGTCGCTTATTCAAATGCAAAACGCAGATCAGTCTTGTATCAGTTTGGTCACCATAACCCTCGAAGGGTCAAACAAGGTCAATGACCTCAAATGGGCTTGAACTTTTCCTTAGAGACAGTTGCCTAGGTTCCGGGGGCGCTTTGGAGACCAACCTGGAATTTGACCTTGTTTGACCTTATTCGACCTAAATGTCATGACCTAGGAAGCTGAAACCTTAACCTAAGTGCGTTCACGTATAGGTCAAGACGCCCTGTCAATTTGGTGTCTCTAACTTTCTTAGTTCGCGAGATCTCAGGGGGAGGCAAATTGACCCCCCCCCTCTCCCCCTGAGAGAAGGGTATCTAGCCGGCCAACCGGGGGCGTGTTAAAGCATAGTAATTTCCAGACAGTATTATGAGCATAACAAATTATTCACACCAATAATTTGATGCTGCGCTTTTCAATTCCCTTCCACAGAACTTTAAAACAAAATAAAGCAAAGGAATTAAATAACAAAATAACAACAGAAAATTCAACAAGCATAAAACACTCAAACAAAAAACCTTGGACTCCTACACATCAGCCCATCACCAAGTCAAACACAATAGACATAATTCTGGCTTCTGTTAAGATGGGGTCAGGGAAAACAAACATTTTGTCACTACACCCAGTCAGCAATTCTAGGACACTACTTACAACGTATGGCTTTGGATTCGGCTTTGTGCCATTTTCAGCAGCTGGCTTCAGCTTTGGCTTCGGACCGAAACAATTTCTGAGCAATGGCACCGTGTTCGGCTTTATCCCTCACAGTTGTAACTTCTGGTTCCGGATTTGTCTTTACTGAAATAGCGACTTTCCCTCACAAAAACGGTCTTTTCCGTCTACCACCAACATATACCACGTACGTCTCCGAGGCTGCAACGCATACATGTCTGAAGGTAAAAGACCTGCCGGTCGTTCTCAAGACCAATCAACACCGGACGACAGCTGAAGAGCTGACTGCTCAACGATGTGTACATGCTAACCCATAACACGCTCATCTCATTTCTCCGTTACGCCGCACACAGTATATAAAATGGGCCAGACGCTTCGCACAAGTACACACCAGGAAGTCGGTAGAGAGCGACTATTCCGCAGCTGGTGATCTGCGCCATATTGACGTATAGAATTATCACATCCCAAAATGCAATTTCGAAAACTTCAGGTACCAGATGCATAAAACCTCCATGATGGGAATGGCATTGCAGACTTGGTCTATTGTCCTGACGAGCAATACTTTCCAAGCGTCCAGAGTTTGTCCTAAGTCCACAGTTAACCATCCACCAGCCCGCGAAGAAAACAATGCGTCACATGTAAGCAAGGAGATTTCAGTTAAGCCTTATCCGCATCATCGTCAAACGGCGGGGACGTAGTTTCGCAAAATGCATTAGGGCTGTAGTATAAGAAAGGCGAAACCTGCCCCCCCCCCCCTAAATACGACAACGAACGGATTTCTCCCCGGATTCGGCCCACTTCCTCCTTTAAGTTGGGGGTCGGGGAGCAGAAACTGAAAAGGAAACCTTACTCCTGACAGAGAACAGCGTCCAGCATTGGCGCATGGGTGATAAATAGTTCGCATTCCACTGAGGCGGTCAGAATGGGACACTCATCGTTGTAGTAGGTTGTCCCGCTTATTATGTCCCTGGAGGACACACTGAGGTGCATCTCTGAAACTCAAACAGCGCGCTCTCAGCGTGCCCTTCGAGTCCATCCGGCTGATTTTAGCTGCGTAGAAGATAGCTGCACAAAACCTGCACTGGCAACGGTGTTCTCCTAAAACAGGAACATAAAAACGAAACGAAAAACCTGACAAAACGAAACAAAAAAAAACGCGTAATCTTTACATGAACTGTGTGATGAAATGACTGAGGCACAATATTCATAACCGTGTTTGGGTTCACCTGCACATTTCCTACGCTCGCGCTGTTGGCAAGGATGCTCGCCTCTCCCCGCCCCCTCATTCAGATACATCGATAACGCCCAGCTCGCCTTTTAAGACGCCTCCTCTCCCATCATCCTTGCTCATCTCTAATGGTTGACGAGCCATCGCTCTTCGGTCACTGCCGAGCAAGTCCTGTCACACATTCCCGAACAGACGTGCCGGCAGCAGGGCGCCGCGCGGTACTCACGCTCTTCTTGAAGATGATGCGGCGCCCCTTGCCCTTGGGCACGCTGGGCCGGGCCGCCGCCGTCAGCCGGCGGAACCGGGCCGCGCGCACCGGTCTCTTGCTCTCTGGTCGCGGCAGCTGGGCGGCCGCGGCTCCGGCTCCGGCTCCGGCTCCGGCTCCGGCTCCGGCCCCGGCTCCGGCTCCGGCTCCGGCTCCGGCTCCCGGCGGCGGCGACGAGCAGCCGGCGGCGGCCGACGTGCGCTGACAGAGCCGGCAGAGCGGCTCGGCGGCGTCGGCCGTCGGCTCCGCGTCGGCGCGCGAGCAGCGTGCGCAGGCGCGGCTGGAGCCGGCGCGCGCCGAGCTCATGGTGGCGACTGCCGCTGCCTCCTGCTGCCACCTGCAGCCAAACATGCCGCGTCACGGGCGGCGGCGGCGAGAGATCACCAGCAGGGGAGGGGGCAGAAAGCAAGGCAGGTCTTTACGGAATGGCCGATGGCGCTGCCCGCTCTTGGTCATGGCGTCACTACTGATGTCGTAGCGGATGGTTCCGATGGTCCCGATCATCGCACTTCTGGCGGCCTCGGCGTGGACCCGGTCGAGAACAAATTTCTGGCACAACCCGACCGACTTTACGCCGTCATGTGTTACCGCTTGCGGGCTTGGTTCGTCGCCGCGCCGGCAGCTGCTGCCATCCGCATGGGACTCACACTCTTGGATGGACTGGCATAGCATACTAAGTCACCGGGGACCCTGGAACTAACGCCAACACGCGCCATCTTTGTTATCTTCGAAATTCACCTATGCAGAGAGCCCCAAATGATGCCCCACTACAATATCAGTAGCTGGGATAACAATTCCACATGCTGTTTATTGTCAGTAGGATAGCCACCAAGGCAAGCAAAGCCCAACTTCTTTTGACTTTCCCCTGATACCATGATGTACCATAATGCAAAATGGTGTTCAAAGTACATTTTGTATAATATTATAGGCATGATGCTGGACCTTGAAATGCTATGGATGATATAGGATTAAATAAATATGTTATATAAAAATAAATTATATGTTGTTGGATCATGGGCAGTGGTACACCCAAGACAGGATGACCTGGAGGGCCTTGTGCCCATGCAACCTTAACACAGGAACCTAAAATATGGATACCGCAAACACCAATCAGAAAGAAAGCTCATTTTCTCCAAATCAATATGGTTCAGTACAGACACCTGGTCATATCAGGTTCTAGGCACTTAGGCATTGGACAATAATCAAAAGGAAGCCTGGTTTCAGAAAGACACACAGATGCTACATTAAGATTAGATCTCACTGTGTTGGTGCTATTTTTGGCAATGGCTTAAAAGTGAGAACTGAGCAAAATAACTCAGGTCCTCACCAGTACCCCAACTGCACTATCTTGTACTGGTTCTCCATTGTGCTGTTCCTCCCTGCATCCATTGCCAATTGTAATGCAGCCTATGTGTGAATTTGGATTATCAATAAAAAGGGTTCATATTTTGGGTACTGCCCAGATAATCCATTATTATTCTTTTTCTTTCTTTACTGCCACATTGATCCTCACCCAATACCATTTCTGGTATAAAGGCACAGTAAATATGGTGCAAACATGGTAACTTATATGTACACAACCATGGAAAGCAGCACCACAAAAGCAAACACAAGCTGGTGTGCTCCATTCCAAACAGAACAAAAATTGCCATGCCTGATACAGCCCAAGCAAATGAGAATGATGACAAAAAATCAGCACAAAATTTAAACCACCACACAAACATAAGTTATAGCACAATAGATATTTGTGTCAGTAAACCATGACAACACTTAGCACATGCTATTTTTGGTTATGGCCACAATGTGTACAAAATATGATTTATATGACTTAAGCCTAAAGAAATAAGAACAAAACAAACAATAATCACCACCATCAAAACATAAAAAACAGCAGCTGTTGTTATTCAGTGGCCACTGAACATATTAAACAAACCATACAGGTCATAGCTAATGCTACATCTCCCTATGCTTGACACCCTTTCACATCAGACAGTTTCTACCATTTATATGATAAACTTCCACAGTATTGCATAAAAATGTGCAATATTCAGCACTCACATGTTGGTTCATAGTGATATGAGCTAAACAGCCAGTTTCCAAAACATCCACCCACTGTGCCCGACATTTACATGATATCCATGTTCTGGGCCTCAAGCACATGTTGAGCTTACAAAATACCTCTCATTGAGCATTGCTCAGCCACATCATGATTCATCCAAAGGTTGGTTTGATAAGCACTGATGTTGATGCTGATACTGCACCAAATTCTGATCTCTCCCATTTGAACTGTGCATGCTCTGGAACTGGTGCTGGAATGTTGATGCTATGCAGGACATTTATTTCAATCCTGGCACTGACAGCAGGAAATGAATGCAGCTCTGCTAAAAATGAGCACACACACATTTGAACAAAATGATGAATTTAAGGCACAATGTGGCAGTTTTTTCTTGTCATTAAAGCAAAACTTTTTTGTCATTGCTAGTTGTGACCCATCAGTTGAGCCGAAGTCCCTATTTCAGCTGTGCCAAGCGATCCTTGCGGTGGCTGTGCTAAGGGATCCTGTTGCGGAGAGGAATGCTGGCCGCTGCCCGTTTCCTTCAATGTGTGTACTAGTATTTTTGCCAGTCCATTATTGAAAGACTATCATATGAACGTGTTTTTGTTTCATTATTCCCCTTTGCCATGTGCTGCCAGCATTGGCAAGTCAACATAAATTTGTGCACCATATTCCTGATAAACCAATTCAACATCCAAACCACACTGTAACTTCTCAAGAACAACTTGAAGAAAAAGCCCGACGTGTTCCGCAGAGCGTGTTTTTACGTTCTGGCCGGGGGAGACTCAATGCTGTATTACAACAGATATTGCCTGGTCACACCACAACATGACTACCAAAAAATACATCGAGCACGAAAGTGGATTAATAATGCGAGTACATACCTGCGGTAACTAACCCCACGTGCTCGACACACACCCCGCCCCGCACAAGCCTGGGCGTGCCGGGAACCCACGGTTACAAACAAAATCACCCGCCCACAGGAACGACTGACATGCATGTCTTGAGAGCACAACAACAGCGACACTCAACGTGGCGCGGTCGTGACGTACCGCAGTCTCAGCGCAACGATCCCTACATTTTCTTATTCGACCGTAAGCTGCAGACCACCGGAACGGTTTGCATGCAATCTGACCTATCAATGAAACACGCGTGCTTGCACCAATGCTCTTGGAACGGGCTAGGTCATTATTTTGACCTTACAACAATGAACAGGCCTGTTGAGGTATAGGATCAACACCAATATCGGCATCTAAAATGAGCGAGTCGCAGCCTTTTCCTGATCATAAGAGTGTGTGATTCTTCATCACCCGCTCCGAAACCGATGATCTCACCCCACTTTCCCCCATGGTCTTCAGTGAGACCATGCGTGGGTCCGGAACACTACATTGAGAGGGTGCAACGCTGGCTGCGTGGCCAAAGTCCAATAAAATAGCGTTTTGACATGGTGCTCAAAAACATATATCTAGTAGAAAGAGCGCCTAAGATTTCATGCGAAGTCCAAAAATTGGCCATTCTTACAAGGACTTCAGCCATTTTGAGTGGCACAGCTAGCTCCCCCCCTCCCCCTCCCCGGGTCCCTTCTTAATTGAAACCTTGATGCAGCCAGGGTTGCATGGGTCGCGTTCCGTGGGTATCTGGACAAATAACCGAAATGCGTCTAAGCCGAATGTCATTTTGTCGAATACAATTGACCGAATGCTATTTTGTCAACGGCTATTTGTGGCGCCGTGCCAAGACGTATATTTTATCGTGGTGTCAAACTGACGAAAATTATTTGAAGCTAAGTCAAAATGCAAAGTAACTGAGTCTGAGTGCCAGTGTGCTGAAATATTCTTTCATCCAACGGGGCAACTTTTCGAAAGGGTGTATAGTGAAATGCCTGTTGCCAAAGTATTCTCAAGTAAGTAGTTAGCTAAGTCGAAGTATTTCTGTACAAAACCTATTTACAGAATAAAAAACATTCTTTTGGAAGTTTCTTTTCGGAGCCCTGCTTACATCCGCCGGTGGCGGCCACTGGACTGGATCGACTGCATCCGCATGGCTGACTGCGAACTGATCGATGACTGCTTTGCTGCACGTTTATGGTTCAGCATCGCTACTTATTGGCGTGTATTGCAGATGCATATTTACCACATCGGCCTATCAAAACAGACCTGTGTTCAATTCAACTTTTTGAAAATGAATTCACCATTGATTCATGGTCCTCGTTGAATGGCTCAGATCTTATTCAGTCATGCTTTTATCTGTGGTGAATCGACTTGTTGTCGAATCACACCCCAGCTCAATGACTTAGTTCTGATCCAAAAATCGTCATATTAGTGTGCATATCTACTGAGCATTGAGTCGCCCGACATTCCATGTTCGCAAGCGAATGAATTTAGTGTGTTTCAATTGATAAATAAGTCCTTCACAGCCAACGTCTAATAAATTATGCTAGACGCTAGGTGGTTGCGGGCTGACAAAGATCCAGCCAATTGATTGCACGCATCCATGAATTCAACACAAAGTTTTACCGGTTTGAATGCTTCAATCTTATTGTCTAGACCAAGTACGCCTACCTTGCCTGTGTCATGTGTCACGGAGTCGCATTTAAAGTGGAGGCATCTATTGCATCCTTTATTAGCATGCATAGGGCTGGCCGGCCAAATGCGATGAGCTCGTGTACGGGGTCAATTTGACCACGATTTGTGCTGAGTCAATTTGAGACCGCAAAAGCAGGGAAAGAGATATTGAATTCATAGTGTATATAGACTTATATGTAGTCCCTCTTGTCTCAAATTTTCGGAGCCATGGATCAAGACCTCTGGGACAAATCAGGTTAAACAATGACAAAGTTCAGATCGTTTGGTTGTTCGGAGCACCTCCAGACCTCCTCATGATGCAGATGATGCATGATGCTCCTCGTGATGCATGATGCAGATGCAGCCGCGTTTTCTTATCATCAGATCACCGGTGCTCCCTTCAAGTCAATGACTTAGTTTGTTTTTAGAAGTCTACGGTGATCAGAGACCTACGGCACTATCTTCTTTCT